CCCTTCCCTCCTGGCCACCCTCCGCTACAGCCCAAGAAGCAAGCCGGTAGCCGCCAGCACAGACCCAGAGCCTGCACCCCGACATCGGGGGCCTGCACCCCGAGATTGGACCCAGAGATCTGGACACCCTTGGGCTGAGACCCCAAGACCTGGAGTCTGAACACCAATATCTGGGGCTGGAATCTCAGTATCAGTCGCTGGCACCCCAGTATCTGGAACCTGAGCTCCAAGATTTGGATATGGACCCCAACATTTGGAGCCTGAACCTCAAGATTTGGCATCTAAAACCCCTAGTCTGGAGCTGAACTCTGAATTCTGTGCCTGGGACCTTGAAATCTGGGATGGCATTCCTGTGTCTATACCCCAGAGTCCACTATATGGGACCTGAACCCTGAGATCTGGGCCTCACATTCCAAGATCTGAACCCTGGCATTCCAAGGGGCCTAAACCTGAGTTCCAACCTGGAGTCTTTGCTGCAAACCTGAATGCTGAAATTTGGGACTAGCGACATCCAAGACTTGATTTAGCAGTCCAGTAACTGAACGCAGCACCCCAGTGCCAGATCCCAGGACTGGGCTTAGGACTTAGACCCTAAACTCTCCATTTGGCTGTTTTGCATCCCAAGACTGAAGCTGGGTGACCCTGACTCTGAACAACCTAAAGGGGTGCCTGGGTGTCTAAAATTGGACCCTACAGGCCCAATATTTGGGGATCTGGGACTCCAAGTATCAAGGTCTAGAGATTCCATGACCACACATAGTAACCTGAGAAACGACAGACAGTCCCTCTACAGAGTCCTTGAGGACAGGGAAGGCATGACCAAGTACTCCCTCCAGAGTCCTGACCTTTGACCCCCTTGGAGCCTGAGGATTCTGCTCCCTGGGACACTTACAGCTCAGGTAAGGCTACCTGGAGTCTCCTGGTGACTCCCATCGTGGAGAGGNAGACAGTCCCTCTACAGAGTCCTTGAGGACAGGGAAGGCATGACCAAGTACTCCCTCCAGAGTCCTGACCTTTGACCCCCTTGGAGCCTGAGGATTCTGCTCCCTGGGACACTTACAGCTCAGGTAAGGCTACCTGGAGTCTCCTGGTGACTCCCATCGTGGGGAGACTGGAGAGGAACTTTGTGGCTGGGGGTGGAGGTAGGTAAGGACCAAGTATCCCTGGGAATCCTCAGGGTTTCTTCTGGAAATAGACACCCCCACCTGTGGGTCTGCCTCCATTTCCTCTGCCTCAGACACACTCTGGACATTTGGCCAGCCCTGCCCCTCTCTCATCTCCTCTTCCCCAGTTGATGGCATCTCCAGGTCTGTGACCCACTCCCAGTCGATCTTCTGCCTTCCCACCATCTATCTAGTCTGACCATCTCCAGCTACCTCTCCTGCTCACCTCTGCTGTCCGCCACTCCTCTCTCCTGTCTCCTTTCTCCACCTCTCTCTGACCATCTTTGACACTTCTGTCCACTGCTCCTCTCTCTGGCCACCTCTGGCCACCATTCATCTTAGTGATCATCTCTTTTCACCTCTTCTGTCTTGGATCATCTTTAACAGCCCTGTCCACAGCTCCTTTCTCTGGCCACCTCTGTCTCAGTGACCACCTTTGATGTCTCTGTCTGCTGTGCTGCTCTCTATTCATCTTTCATGGGCTCTCTTGCCCTTGTTCAGCCCTGACGCTCAGCTGTGGCCTGTGACTGTCTCTGACCATCTTTGACATCTCTGTCTCCGACTCCTCTCCAGCCACTTCTGTCCATCTTTATTCCCCAGCTTACCCTGTCCACATTTCCTCTCTCTGACCATCTTTCACTGTCTCTCTTGCCCTCTTCACACCCCTGACCCTAACTGCCAGTTGACAACCATCTGACCATCTCTGGCCTTTACCGACCACCTCTCTTCTCTGTTTCTATGATCATTTCTAACATCCCTGGCTGCCTTTCCTCTGTCTGATGACCGCTCCTCATACCCATCACCCAGCTGTCCCCTCCTCCTGACCACCTCTCTGGCTTCTGACCATTTCTGACCATCTTTTACCATCTCTCCTGGATCTGACCACCCCTGACAACTTCCTCTCTCTTTGTCCACCTCTTACCATCTCTTTTCTCTGGTCATATCCAACTACTACTAATCACGCCCACCCTGACCACTGCTTCTCTCTGGCCCTCCTTGGCCATCTCTCTGTGACCATGTCTAAAGCCCTCTTGCATGTCTTCTACCCACCCTGACCAACCCTCCCATTCTCTGACTGCCTCTGACCATTTCTACTCACCTCCCTTCCCTCTGACCATCTTTGTTCATTTCTGCTCCCTCTGCCCTTCCATGATATGTCTCTCTCAGTCTTTGACTATCTCCTCCAGCTTTTGATATGTCTGACCATTCCTCTGACCATCTTTAACCAACTCTACTGCTCTTAGCCCATTGTGACCTTCTCTCCTGGTCTTGGACCACCCCAGCCCCCTCTGACACCCCTCTTCTGGCCTCAGCCTGCCCTAATGCCTCCCTTCTTCCCTGCAGGCCACCCCTGCCCGAGATGGCCGTCCTCCCGCTGCTCCTTTGCCTGCTACCGCTGGCCCCTGCCTCATCTCCACCCCAGCTAGCCACACCCAGCCCGTGTCCCCGCCGTTGCCGCTGCCAGACACAGTCACTGCCCCTAAGTGTGCTGTGCCCAGGGGCAGGTCTTCTGTTTGTGCCACCCTCTCTGGACCGCCGGGCAGCCGAGTTGCGCCTAGCAGACAACTTCATTGCAGCTGTGCGGCGCCGTGACCTGGCCAACATGACGGGCCTACTGCATCTGAGCTTGTCACGTAATACCATCCGCCATGTGGCAGCTGGTGCCTTTGCTGATCTTCGCGCCCTGCGTGCCCTGCACCTAGATGGTAACCGGCTGACCTCACTGGGCGAGGGTCAGCTGCGCGGCCTGGTTAATTTGCGCCATCTCATCCTGAGCAACAACCAGCTGGCAGCCCTGGCGGCTGGTGCCCTGGACGACTGTGCTGAGACACTCGAGGACCTCGACCTCTCCTACAACAACCTGGAACAGCTGCCTTGGGAGGCTTTGGGCCGCCTGGGCAACGTCAATACATTGGGCCTCGACCACAACCTGCTGGCTTCTGTGCCCGCCGGCGCCTTTTCCCGCCTGCATAAGCTGGCGCGGCTGGACATGACCTCCAACCGCCTGACCACCATCCCACCCGACCCACTCTTCTCCCGCCTACCACTGCTCGCCAGGCCCCGTGGCTCACCTGCCTCTGCCCTGGTGCTGGCCTTCGGTGGGAACCCTCTGCACTGCAACTGCGAGCTGGTGTGGCTGCGGCGGCTGGCGAGGGAGGATGACCTCGAAGCCTGCGCCTCCCCGCCTGCCCTGGGCGGCCGCTACTTCTGGGCTGTGGGTGAGGAGGAGTTTGTGTGCGAGCCGCCTGTGGTAACTCACCGCTCACCGCCCCTGGCAGTGCCTGCTGGTCGGCCAGCTGCCCTGCGCTGTCGGGCTGTGGGGGACCCCGAGCCCCATGTGCGTTGGGTGTCACCCCAGGGCCGGCTGCTGGGCAACTCGAGCCGTGCTCGCGCCTTCCCTAATGGGACGCTGGAGCTGCTGGTCACAGAGCCGGGTGATGGCGGCACCTTCACCTGCATCGCTGCCAATGCAGCCGGTGAGGCCACGGCTGCTGTTGAGCTAACCGTGGGCCCCCCACCTCCCCAGCTAGCCAACAGCACCAGCTGTGACCCCCCGCGGGACGGGGATCCTGATGTCCTCACCCCACCTTCTGCTGCCTCCGCCTCCGCCTCCGCCAAGGCAGCAGACACTGGGCCCCCTACTGACCGTGGTGTCCAGGTGACTGAGCATGGGGCCACAGCTGCTCTCGTCCAGTGGCCGGATCAGCAGCCTATCCCAGGCATTCGCATGTACCAGATCCAGTACAACAGCTCAGCCGATGACATCCTGGTCTACAGGTGCAGTGCCCAGGCAGTGGGCAGCGTGGGTCGGAGCGAGGTGGAGGGAGGGTTAGAGAGATGCCTGTTGATACCCGGACAGCTGAGAAATGAGGCTGCAGGGTTACAAAGGAAATCAGACAGCAAAGGTCAAAGAAATCAGGCAGAGAGGGTTGAATAGGAATCTGGCAACAGTGGTAAAAAGAAATAAGGCAGCAAAAGTAAATAGTAACAACCGTTTAAAGGAAATCAGGCAGCAAGGGTAAAAAGTAACCAGGCCTGAAGAATAAAGAGTCGATGGAGGAAGGCAAGTTTGGGGTGATACAAACAAATTTTAGTAGTAAAGGTATAGAGAAGCCAGGTATTTCCAGGTGACAGGGCTAGATACAAGACAGGCTGCTGGAAGAAAAAGAGATCGAGCAAGAAGGTTCAGTGATTATGAGGAAGATGAAATGAGAGCCCTGCTGCAAAGGAACCCAGACCAGAGGTTAAAGGAAAATGGGAAGGAAGTTAAGTAGAGACTCAGTTTGGGGTTTGTGCAGTGCAAACTGCTCCATGTGTTTGGAGCTCTTACACGGCAACATCTCAATTTTTTTATTTTCTAAATCAAATTAAACCTAGTTAAAGTTCCATCTGCTAGGTGAGCAGGAATGTTGAGTTTGCCACTGTTGGGGATACCCTTTTCTTTTCTGTTGTTGCAAACACAAAACCTGGAGCTTAAACACTCCAAGGGGTGGGTCAGTACAATTTCTGCCCCTGAGCTGGAGGGTACTTGGAACGTCTGCTGTGGCCACATGTGGTTCATAGTGGTGGCTCTGAACTGGGTGCTGCTGACACCTCTCACCCAGTCCAGCCTTGCATGGAAAGCTGTGGATGGCTCCCTATTCTCACTGCCAGTCTCAGCCAAGGGTGTAGCCCCCAAGGCTTGACTGCAGAGGACTGGGCCTCCTAAGACCTCGGGTCTGCATCTTGTAAACTCAGCATCTGGGTCCTGTTTCCCTCCCCAGGGACCCCAAGAGATCATCACTTGATCTCCTTTTCAGACCTGGGAACCTGATAAGCTCATGCCACTCCCTTTCATAGGTGGTACTTGGTATATTCCATGAAGGGTCCACACTTGAAAATCACACAAATCCTTTCCACTGTGCCTGGCAGAGGATGAGATGAATGCTCTCCTAGATAGTCACCCTCCCAGAGACAATCACAGAGTTTCTTGCACCTCCCTTATTAAAGCAGTTTAAGAATAAAGCCGATTATAAAACAAGTTTAATCTCCAAGCGCTCTGCTACAAAAGGAATATAGTGGAATTGGGTGGTAGAGAAACTAGCAACAGAGATCAAAGGAATCTGGGCAGAGCAGGAAAGAAATAAGGCAACGGAGAAAAATCAGCAGTGGTGACTGAGTCACATCATTTTAATGAAAATGGTATCAGATGACAGGACTCACTGGAAAGCAGGCTATACATATAATATGGCAGCAGGGCTGGGAAGATGTTCATGGGTAGGTTAGAAGGAAATCAGGCTCAGTGATATGGAGGAATCAGGCGGTTAGATTAGAAAGAATCTCGCTGGACACTAGAGGCAAAGAGACATCGGGCACAGGCTGGAGGGAAGCCAGACAGGAGCAAAGAGTCTAGAGGGAGACAGAGAGGTAGAATTAGAGGGAAATTGGATAGGGGGTTTGAAGGAAATAGGAATTGGGTTAGAGGGAGGTCAGACGGTGAGGACACAATTGGGCGGGGAGCTGGAGAGATTTCTGGCAGCAGGGCTAGAAGGAGCTCGGGTGGTGTGGCTGGTGGGAAATCAGGTGAAGGACTAAGGGAGCCCAGGCAGTGAGCTAGGGAAGAAAGGCTGGGGGGACAGTGAAATCAGGTGGCGGAGTGGGGCAAAGTTGGGCAGCAAAGCTAGAGGGAACTTCAGTTGCAGGCTGGGGAGAAGGTGGGTTGGCAGTGCAGGGTGGAAGTCGGGCAGCGGGGCATAAAATGAAACAGGACTGGAGAGCTCGAGCAGCGGGGCTAGAGTGAAACTAGGCAGCAGAGCGGAGGTGAAGGCAGTGGCGCTGGAGGGAATGTGAGCGCGGGGATAAAGGGAGCTCAAACGAGGGGACTTCAGAGGACTGTGACGGCCAAGTTAGCCGGTGGGCTGAGGGAAAATTGGCTAACAGGCTGGAGGGATAGCAGTCAGGCTGCTGGCTGGGTGTCACACTAAAGGGAACTCCAGCGGTGGTTGGAGTGAACTG